CATGGTTACCCCATAGGTTTACATGTTAAAAAATGGTTTGAGCGATGGAGGATGCCGTATGTGTGCGAAGGATTGGTCGGTAATTTCAATACAATTGAATCTCGATCGATCTTACCGACAATTTTATCTTGCATTGTTGACATGAAGACGAAAATAAACTTCCAAAAACAAAAAAACAACATCTGCCGATAGATCTTGATCTAAGTTCGTGCCAATATGCATTGCAAAAGTAAAAGAAGAGTCCGTATATGGAGCTTTTGCGAAGCATTCATCACACGCGAAGCCGGTTTCAATCCATTTTAATGTATATATTGGAGAAAACTGCCAAGCATGTTAACGGCGGGCCATAGCCGAGTGGTCTAAGCGTTGGTTTTCGGTACACCTCTTGTTGTACGCAAGGGTTCGAATCCCGTCTTCGACATAATGAAAAATATTTTTAATTTTTCATTTTTTAGTCTATTTTTTTTCGGCATATAAAAGTATTAATGACTGCTTTAATATTCGAGAAATAGTTGTTTTCATACGCTCTCGGGAAGGTTACAATTGGGCTATTCCCCTCGGCAAGCCTCGGGGAATAGCACAATTCTAACCTTCCCTTGAGCGTAATAAAACAACTATTTCTCTCAAAGCAGTCATTAATACTATACCAAAACCTTCATACTAAGTTACTTTTATTGTAAAGTTTAAAAGATTTGAATAAAATCAGTGAAAATTTGAACAAAATCGGGCAAGGAAATAAGAAAGTTAGAGCTTTTTGAAATGACTAGTCACTAGAGGGCGGTATTCAATTTGATGACATCATCTGTGAACAACTCTCCATGCCTTTTGTACATAAAATTTTACAATTTTGTTGTTTTCTTCGTATTTATTTGTGTTCTAGATCCGACTTCATAACATGTGAAGTAGAATATCATTTTGCATTCTATATTTTGCTATTAGGGGAGTACATTATCTCAATCACAAGAAAGAAGGAAAAACATTAAATTTGATGTACAAAAGGCATGGAGAGTTGTCCACAGATGATGTCATCAAATTGAATACCGCCCTCTAGTGACTAGTAATTTCAAAAAGCTCTTACTTCCTTATTCCTTGACCGATTTTGTTCAAATTTTCACCGGTATTTTTCAAATATCTTAAACTTTACAATAAAAGTAACTTAGTATGAAGGTTTTGGTTTCCTTTAAGTATAATTATACTTGTATATTGACTATGTATACGTGTGGACTAGAGTACGGACATTCGGTGCGGCAGGCGGACTATTTAGTGTGCAGGCACAGACCCTAATTTGACACTTTATCAAAAAATCATTGTGCCTTGAGAGAAGTCTAGCCCAGCTACCTACTGGTTGTGTACAGTACATGGCCTATGGTAGTCTTATAGTGCAGACTCACTTTTACGACTGACCAGGGTTTGTGCTTGCAGACTACGGACTATTGGTGCGAGACCTTTTCCGCACAGATTGTCCGTCAGAAATTTGAGACGCGCACGGAAAGTATGATTTTTGTATACATATCAAAGTAATATTTAGCACATTTAAGCTCAGTGTGTGTAATATCGAGGATGGGAAGTGCAAGAATGTCTCGTGATTCAGCTTTGATGGCAGCCAATAATTTATTTTAATAATCATTCTATCTGGTTATCTTTAAAAATTAAAAATAAATTTCTCTGCGAATATCAAATCGTCACTAAAGTTATGTTCGGTCATTTTGGGGGTGTGATATGATTCGAGTCTTCGATTGCGTATTGTCATTCAATTCAATTCAATTCAAATAATTTTATTTCATAACTCGATCAAAACATGTTGGCATAACCCTGAACATCCGGTGGCTTTGCCCCCTGGACCCCATCTAGGGCCCTAAGGCGGTCCTCTGGATGCTAATCTGATGGAAATTTAATGCCGAAAACCTCCAAGCTTCTGGGGGCTCTTTTGTCCTCTTTGTGCATGGCTGATTGTCAACGAAACGGAGTTAAGTCTTTTGTCAAGTCTGTTCGTTGCTATGGCAGGCAACCAGTAAAAACCAATTCGTTTCATCAAATTATGGAAATGCAAGCATTAATTTAAACAAACAGAACTTTGTTATTCCTGATTGAGGTGTCGTATTAAAGGGCAGAAAATAAACTTTCTAGAAATGTGATTTTCTCTTTGAAATTCAGATAACGCCCGCCAAATGACTTTTTGGTACGTACCCTCTCTTCAATTTGTTTTTAATCACTCGTGCGTGAAATATGCATCATATGAGTAACCTCAAATGAAAGAGGAGGATCTAAGCTTTACAAATATGTGTCATTTATTAATTATAATTGTGATTAATTCTCGGTTTCGCTTTTTCTGGGACGCACTGTATAGTAGGCCTACTTGCGATATGGGCACTTGGTCATTTTCCTCGACAACATAAATATATTACGATTTATTTCGTGAACTTATAGTCAGCATCGTAGCTACCAGAGGCGGTTCTCCCGGGGGGCAGGGGGGGCACAGTGCCCCCCCACTTTTTCAGATAGCCCAAAAGTGCCCCTTTTTACATAGGAAAAGTGCCCCTTTTATTTTGTAAGAAGTGCCCCTTTTACATAGGAAAAGTGCCCCTTTTACTTTGACAAGTGCCCCTATTACTAAATAAAAGTGCCCCTTCCCCCCTTTTCACCTCTGACGAGTGCCCTTTTTATTTTTGACACGTGCCCCTTTTCCTTCGACATGTTCCCATTTTCCTTTGCAATAAGTGTCCATTTTCCATTCTCATAAATCTTGAAATTATCTTTAATAAGTGCCCTTTTTAATCTCTAGTAAGTGCCTCTTTTCAGGTACGAGAAGTGCCTCTTTTCAGGTACGAGAAGTGCCCCTTTTCACTTTTGATAAGTGCCCCCTTCACCTCTCTGATAATTGCCCTATTCAAAACTGAGAGGTGCTCCTTTTACTTTGACAACTGCCCCTTTTTTCCTTTGTAACCTTTTAACATGTGCCCCTTTTATTTTCTAATAAGTGCCCCTTTTCCTTATGATAAGTGCCCCCATTAAAAAGAGAGAGCTCCTTCCCCTTCTCATAACTACCGCTTTCCCTTTCTAATAAGTGCCCCTTTTCCTTATGATAAGTGCCCCCATTAAAAAGAGAGAGCTCCTTCCCCTTCTCATAACTACCGCTTTCCCTTTCTAATAAGTGCCCCTTTTCCTTATGATAAGTGCCCCCATTAAAAAGAAAAAGCTCCCTCCCCTTCTCATAACGGCCCTTTTTTAAAATTTGAACGGTGCCCCCTTTTCATTCAACAAATGCACATTTTCCTTTATTATAAGTGCCCCTTTTACATTTTCATAAGTGCCCCTTTTCATATCTGGTCAGTGCCTCTTTTCACCTCTGATAATTCCCTTTTTAATAATGATACGTGCCCCTTTTCCTTTCTAATAAGGGACCTGTCCCCTTTTCACCTCTTATAAATGCCCCTATCAAAATCTGATGGGTGCCCTTTTTCCGTCAACAAATGCCTATTTCCCATTTTCGTAAACGCCTCTTTTTCATCAGGTGAGTGCCTCTTTTCAGGTGAAAAAAATGCCTCATGTTCACCTCTTATAATTATCCTTTGTACTTTGACACGTGCTCCTTTTCTTTTCTAATAAGTGTCTTATCCCTTTCGATAATTGTCCCCTTTTCATGAAATCATTAAACATGCCCCTTATTTAAAGCGACTAAGAGCAATTTCCCCCAAAGTTCGCTCGCTGCGCTCGCTCGCATTTAAAGATGATATAATTATGTTAGTTATCAAAGGTCTTTTCAGTCTTCCGTTATGAGAATGTGCTTATAACCCCATCACGATTGGCTTTTTTCCTCTTTATAAGATGTAATTTTTCGCACTGCGACCTCGCAGATCTTTAAAATTTTTCTCGCTCGCTTCGCTCGCTCGTAAATGCATATTCAGACATCCCACCCAACTGTAAAGTATGATGCTTAAGCGATATCTTGTATGATGTATGAAGAGAAACAAATATTGAAATCATCCCTGATAATGTAATCACAATGCAGGGGTATGTACCAATGTCTAAAAAATTGTATATTTTCGCTTTGAGATTTCCCACTGTAGGTGCCCTTTTTTCTTCAGAAAGTGCCCTTTTTTGTTGGTGCCCCCCCACTTTGGAAGTCGCTCGACCGCCCCTGGTAGCTACACCCGTACAAATTAGTGCTCACCACCCACCTCCCCCACCCCCCCCCCACTTATTCGCCGGCTAATTCGCGGATAAACTTTTTCTCACGAAAAAAATTTAAGTGCTCATTACACCCCTCGCAATGACTCACTCTCACCTCTGGCTCAAAAGTGGCAACCCTTGACCCACCGGGTCTTGCCCTATAGACCCCATGCAATTTTAAGCTCGATACGCTCTACCTGATCATTAATAATATACTTTAGCCCCCCCCCCCCTACTACGCGAATATGAGATACCAGAGCAGCTCTCCTTCTGCTCCCGCCCCCCCCCCCAAAAAAAAATGTTTTTGCTCACATTGTCCTTCGCATCAGTTGCCCCCCCCCCTCCCCCGGTCATGAAAAGAAATCGCCTCCCATGATTATAATAATTATTGACATTGTTATTATTGTTATTATTATTATTAATTCTATTATTAATATAATTATTTTTGTTTGTTTTTTGTGTGAGTATTTTTGTTCTTAATTGTTGGTAATAAATCCATACTCTAGATAACACTTTAAGAGTGTTATCTAGAGTATGGATTTATTCGTTTAAAAAAATCACACATTACTATGTTTATTTATTTTTTCATTATTATCATCATCATCATCATCATCATCCTCATGACCTCATCATCATCATCATCATCATCGGGAGAGAGGGGGTACGTGTACACCCCCACCGATCGTTCAGTGTCCCTCCCCCTGGCCTGAACTTCAAAGAAGCTCCTCCATTGATCTATGTAGTATACTGTCTTTGCATGCAATACCCGCTGGTTCTGTGTCGCGTTGCGCTGGCTCGGCGCGCGCGCGCTGCGCTGAATGCATGCTTCGTATATACTGGTACTCGTAAATAAACAAGAAACTTCGCTCCAGCATTGGAAAACGCAATTCAAGGACTGGAGTCTAGCATTGAGTGAAATTCTTTGTAAGACAAGCTGAGTAGTACCTACAGGACTTAATTCTCTCCTACTTACTGAGAAGTAAGGAAATAATGGAGGGATTTAACAAACACATCCTCAATGGAAAGGTGCCAGAGTTGCCACGAATGATATCTCATCGACAGCAGAATGGCTACACCAGTTTGCCGAGAATTATGTTAAATAGGCGCATCAATACATTGCACAGAAAAGAGCCCTTCTACCGACTGGATTTGTTGGGGCACTATGGCTGTGTCAATGCCATTGAGTTCAGCAACAGGGGTGGAGATTATTTAGCATCAGGTTAGAAAATTACAGTAGTAGTCAAAATAAGTCGTGGTATTGATAATTGTATGAAGGGGTGACCAAAGTTCGCGCACATTTTAGAACATATTACAAAATGTGATATTCGATCTATGATTTCTCACATTCTACACAACTTTATTTATTTCAAGTATTACCAAATGGACGGCAAAGTTTTTTACTACAGATTGGTTCAAAAAGAAAAATTTACCGTCGAAGGATTTCGGAGATATCGCGATCTAAAAATTCGATGTCCGATCGTGCGTGCGCGCTGCATCTAAAAAAGTCGTAAAAACAATGAGACCTAACTTCACGCACGGTGGTTTACAGTTGATTTATCAAAAAATGTGATCCATCAAAAATAAGGTAATAGGTCTATCATAATTTGCAAGACAAGATATCGTACAATCAGTTAGTACCACTCTTTACTTACAATTTTGAGGATTTCTGATCTCAAAATGAAGATTTCCAGACCCTTAATCGGTAAGTTGATAATTTTTCGGAATGGACGCAAATAACTGCAAAATTTGCCGATCTTTTGTCAATATTTTCACAATTTCGCAACCAATTCTAAAGAAAATTTCGTTTCTGGGTAATTTTATGACCCTCTTTCCATTGGTGATATCAGATTTTCGAAATCTTACCGACTTTTTGAGAAAGCGAACTTTGGTCACGCGCGAACTTTGGTCACACCGCCATACCCATTTCATGAATATAAATGTGGAGGTGTAGATCTACATACAGTAGTATTCCGATTGTAGATAGGATTTCCTAAACTAATGTCAACAATGAATAGGTCTAGGTAGTCTAGTTGAACTTGAAGTTTTGCTGAGACGAAAGAATGCAATGAATTGAGATGTCACAGTTGAGTTGTGTGATGTGTGGTACTGAATGAAATGGGGAGGTAATCGTATTATCTGTTAAAAACAGTATTATCTGTTAGAAACACTAACAAATACTTGCTTGAAAGACCACATTTAGAATACTGTTCATGTGTATGGAAAGAACTCTCAAAGAGAGATGCAAGAAAGTTTGAGTCTGTTCAAAGAACAGCTAGCTACCAATTCCAAGTTTTTGAAGTGAGGTCATTTCCATATTCTGAAAGACTTTGAAAGCATATTATAGGAATTCCATCACTGGAGTATAGGCATGAATGAGCAGATATACCGTAGTTCAGGTTTTTAAGTTGTTGAATGATTTGGGAGACTACGATCCAGCTGCACTCTTTGTTCTTAACGATCAAATCACTCAAGTACACAAGTTTAAGTTCTATAAGAGGAGATGTCGCACAAGCAAAAATGTTCCATTCTTTTAGTTTTAGTCAAAGGGCAGTTGTTTCTTAGAATGTCCTTCTGTTGAGGCATCATCAGTCAATGTTTTCAAGTCCAAGCTCAATGACCAAGTACTGGAAGCAGAACTCTAGAAGTGAAATAAGTTTGAAATAAATTTTTGCAAAAAATATGCATGTCTATTTTAGTAAGTCAGATGCTTGGTGCTTGGGATCACCTTTGTGGCACTGCATTGAATACTCTCAACCATTCTCTGTTCTCCAAGTGTATGGGGTGACCATACTGCTCAAATGGCAGATTGGTCAAATTAGACCTTCGTATAGTAGGTTGAACGTTACTATGTCTAGGTATGAGAATGACCTTCAAATAACTCCAAGCAGTCTGTTTGTCGTGGAGATAGTTTGTGAGATGTGTTCATTAATATTCAGATGATAGTATACAAGTACAAATATATCCTTAACAACCTTTGTATCTGTCAGTGAAATATGTTCATCTTGTTTTCTAATGACACATTTATGGTTTGAGGCCGAGAGTGAACGCCTAGCTTTAAGTAATGTGCACGTGTACGGGTGGAACTTCTTAGATCATCTGCCATTTATAACCCAGTCTTGCAAATTGTCTAGGTCTTGTCTGTGCACCTTGTTTTCTCAGTCACGACGGATTTATGGTTCGAGGCCTAGAGTGAAGGCCTAACTATAAGTACTATGCACTTGTACGGGTGGAACTTCAACGATCATCTGCCATTAGCCCAGTCTTGCAAATTGTCTAGGTCTTGTCTGAGTCTGTCTCATCATCATTTTGAGTATTAGTTAAAGAACTAAATATGTACACAAGTTGATAGTGATTGCTTTATGTAACCTCCATATTAAAAAAGAAAAGAAGATGGAAAGAAAAAAAGATGGAAAGAAAATGAGGAAAAGAAGAAGACAGGGACGAGGAAACTATGAGTTAATTTTACTCGGCTTAGTCTCACCAGATTCAAGATGAAATGTAAATAATTTAAATTGAATCATACACCAGTGTGTCTTTTCTTTCGATTAGCAAACATAATTTTATTATTAGACTTTCTAAAGTAAAGAAGAGCCACCGGATGATTAAGTGTTATCCATGTTGAAATAATTTGAAAAATTGAACTTCACAACTTGATATCAAAACAAACTCATCCCTACTAATTCTTGCTCCTTGAACGTAACTCTCACTAAAATCCAGATTTCTAACAACTTGGTGGGTAGATAATGCATGCAAGAACTGAAATAGTGTGTTTACTACTGCTTAAAGGAATCGTTTAACAATGTTAAATCTGAGATACACGGTCCTACATGTTACCAGTGTATGTGATATGGTGTAATATTGAAGCCCTAAAAAAATTGCGCTTCAAAATGATCAAGAAGTGCCTCAAAAAAGTAAAAATCTTTGAGTGACCGGTTTTACCATACTCGTTTTCCCCAATAGAATGTAGTGTTATGAAAACCGTTCAGTGAACAGTTTTCAAAATTTGTAATTCCAATCATTAATATCTTGATAATCAGACAGGCAATCGGCTTGTAAAAGAGTTCCTGGCTGACCTAAAGGTTTATAATTATCATTGCAGCATGAGCTAAATCAAGGATTATTTCTAAAGGATCTAAGACTAAGTTACTGGATCCCTTTAATGTGTATAGTGATCTTTAAATTAGTTTGAATTTATGAATGTTATTTATGCTGTATATGATAATTTTTTTCTCAGGTGGTGATGACAGACGTATTCTTCTGTGGAATGTGGACGAAGCTCTCCATTCTAAATATGAACCAAGAATCATGAAAGGCGAGCACCATTCAAACATATTCTGCTTGGCTTTTGATAATGAAAATGGGAAGATTTACTCAGGAGGCAATGATGATCAAGTCATAGTCCATGATGCCAGACGGTAAGCTCTCCATTTTTTTTTTTTTTTTGGGGGGGGGGATGGGATGAGGGGATACGTCGCCAGACTGTCGATCACAAGGTCAAGTCACGCCACAGCACTAATGATCTTTGGCAAGACATTGACCTACATTTGCCACACTCAACCCAGGTGATGTACTTGGGTACCTGGCAGGAATTAATTCCTTGAAATGCTGGAGTGCCGGAATGGCAGCTAGGCTCAAGCCGGGGTAACAATAAATTCGCCTCAGAATAGAATTTCTAGATAGACAGCGCTATAGAAATGCCTATTATTATTATAATGTGACACTGGTCGACTCTGGCAGCCCAGTGTTTGTTCCATTAGTTGACTGGACCAGGTAAAGAGTGCAGTACACTAGCAGTAAATATTGGTTATTTTTTCTAGCATTACATGATGCTCTGGGGAAGAAGAAATGTAAAAACAGGCAGTTGTTGGACACATGCTCTGGTGATGCGTGCTCTGGTGATGCGTGCTCTGGCAACAATTGCTCCTCATTAATGGTGTACATGTACACCAAATTCTAAATCAATCCTGAACCTACAGTCAACACTACGGCATACCTAATTCTAGCCCATCCCTAACTGTAAATCTAACCTAACACCCAGTTATAACCCTAATCCCTCCCTAACCTTTGAACCCCTAACCCTTACCCTAAATGTGTATGTTTGATGAAATAAAGTCAGGAGCAATTGTTACTGGAGCATATTGCCTGTTGAAGGCCAGAAGGGTGTTAAGGCCTGCTCCTATACTTCTAGTAACCAAGTAAATGAGTAAATTTGATTGGATTGTTTTTTATTTTCTCTCTCTCAGAGGAGATGCATTAGATGTGTTCTTACATGAGGATGCTGTGTATGGATTAGCAGTAGATCCAAGGAATGATAATATCTATGCCAGCGCCTGTGCAGATGGAAGGGTTCTTCTCTGGGACATTCGAGCACCAAGTCATCAAGGTAATATATTTTAGAGTTATCAAACTTAATATAGAAAAGGTTAGCGTCTGGTAAAGATGAACATCTGTGAGTTTCTTCATTTTTCTGTGTCCTTTTGGAAGACAGTAGATATGTCTCCTTAAAACTCAAAAGGATTGATTACTCTCAAAAATGTTTGGACCAGACACTTCTGTGAAGTCCCATATACCCAATTCTGTGTGCTGTATTGTCCAAGAGATCTTCAGCAGTCGAGTTCCTTTCATTTCAACATTTCAAAATTGTATCTGAAATACATGATCAACCTTTTCCAATCATGGCTTCCAGATGGTTTCTTTTACAATGTAATCACACGATCAGTACTAAACTTTTATGTTTAATCGCAATTTGCTGTGAAATCAATAATACAAATCAGAGTAAGAGATTGATGAAAGTGAACAAAATCAGACAAACAACAAGCAGAAAACAGGACAGTAAGGCCAGACTGTAATCTCTGTTGTTTTCTTGCTCCTATTTATACTTGGGATGTTTGGACTGAAATTGCATCTATAAAAAGCAAAAAGGTAACAAATGCAAGTTTGAATATTTTAATTTCGATGCTCAAACGCTGTAATGGCAGCCATGTTAATACCAGGGTATTAATGATAGAGCTTCAAAAGTGGCAATGTGCCAGACATGACGGCTATACAAAACTCCACTATTATTATAGTGGTAGTAATATCATATTTTTTGTTTTTGTTGTGTCTATTTTTGTTCTTCACCCATTACCGTTTGTTATTACAGAACCATTTGTGCTAGCCAACTATGTGACAGCATTCCATGCAGTTGTGTATCACCCTCAAGAGCCTAGGTTTCTAGCTACGGCCAATGCCAAAGAAGGCATTGCTCTGTGGGATGTCAGAGCACCTAAAAGGTAATCATTTTCCCGTAAAGCCAGATTTTGAAATGTCATATTTTGATTATATTAGGGTCAACGATGTCGTCATAACAAACTCAAATAAGAAAGACACAGAATTAACACTACTCATCGATGCTTGCACAGATGTCTCTTAGCTAAAGCTTTATGTGAATGCAGCCGGATTCTTATAGACATTCAAGCAATGGGTTGTCCTAAGTTTTATTTGTTATGACAATTAACATTGTTTTACTAACATAAAAGATTAAATCCATAATACCACCCCTGGACATTAGGGCTCTGCATGATTAAAAAGTTGTGATTGATTCTAATTGATAGCCACTTTAAATCAATAGCAACTATTTTCCAAAGAGATATGAGATACAGTAGTAAATTGTTACTGGTAATTGAATTGAGGACTTGCAATCGCAACTCTTTATAAGACAGGGCCCAAGTTTTCAATAATCTGGAATCTGGCATCAGACAAGTACACTTGTACATTACATGCTGGACAATTGCTCTGTAGTCATTTTCTAATACCATCTGAACTCTCAAGTTCAAATCTGGACACAACGCTATACATTAAGCTAACCCTAAAGTTGAAGGTCAAGACCAGTATTGGAAACGCCCCAATTTCAAAAAATGAAATGGAAGCTCTTATTACCAATCATGTGAAAGAATATGTTTTGAATATTACATGATGATAAAAATTTTGACGGAAAACCGCCTACTAATTGATATATTTGGTAAATTAGTGTATCTCTCGCCTGTTGAGAGATATGAAATGCATGTGTCGCGCACGTGTGTGTAGTCCCATATACATCTTTCTGTGTACAGTGCTTCTAACTTTATGAAGACTTGGCCAAATTTCTTATCATTTTGATGATTCCAGAACCTTGCAGTACATCTATGCTAGATGATCAACCTTTTCTGATCGATTTCACAACGTTTCTTTCACAATGCAATCGCTTGACCAGAATTCAACTTCATCTTTAACCTAACCCTAAACTTAAAGGCTCATAGTAGTGGGTTCTCTAGGGATTGGACACCATTCATTCAGGTGTTTACCCATTAAAAGGCGTTGTCAATCACCGAGAATGGACTTCACTTTTACGACGAAAACAGGTCTTGTGTAATGCATTGTGCCCTGAACCTACCGCCATTAGGAATTCTCATCATGATAAAACTTCTCTCACACTTGAGATGTGAAGGCAAGCTGGAGTACTTTCTAGTGGGACAATGGGTTTGCTGCCTGGGAGACAGGTTCACACATGAATTTTTAATTCAACCAAATCTGGTGTCAGCAAATATTTATGCAGTACACATGGACACTGACTACTATGTGGCTTAAATCCAATCATATCCTTATCTAAAGTCATATCTTTGATCAAATAAAGCTGGGAGCAAATGTTGTTGGAGCCTATGTTGGGTCACCAGGTCACACCTGAATTTGCATGTTTTCCCCTCTTAAAGGTAAAGACCAGTTATGGTCATGCGATTGCGTTGTGAAAGAAACGTTGTGGAATCGATCAGAAAAGGTTGATCATCTAGCATATAAGTATTGGTGTTACTGCAAGGTTCTGGAATCATCAAAATGATAAGAAATATGGCCCAGTCTTCGTAAAGTTACAAGCACTGTACACAGAAAGATGTATATGGGACTATATGCACACGTGCACGACACATGCGTTTATCTCTCACAGACCATGTAGATAAACTAATTTACCAAATATATAAATTAGTAGGCGGTTTCCCGGCAAAATTGTTATCATCATGTATTAGTCAAAACATATTCTTTCACATGATTGGTAATAAGAGCTTCCATTTCATTTTTTGAAATTGGGGCGTTTCCAATACTGGTCTTTACCTCTAAACTCGAATATTCAACTATGTGATCATAGTAACCCTATCTTGAATCATTAACTATTGATTACTTGAGGTATTCACTTTAAATCATATCAGCCTTAACACTTAAAGCCACACTGTCCTACTTGTAGCTACTTGCTCCCTGTATATAGAAACCAATGCCTAATCAGTGACCATTGGTCCCCCATGATCCTCTTTTTCTTATGTCATTTGAGAGCTGAGTTGATGAGATGATCACCTGCACAGTGACCTTGCAGGGTGCTCTAATCCCTCCTTTAAACTAGTACCGGTAAGCTTTAAGTCAGTATAACTATAAACTATGTTATATTTTATGTTAGTAAAAGTATATTATTTGTCATGACAATGATAGCTGTCTATTCTGCACAGTTTCAATTTGTTTTGACAACTATTAAACATACTTTTACTAACATAAAAGCTAAGACATTTTATAGAACAGCCTTTGGATTCAGAATGATAAATTGTCTTCTCTTCTTTTAATTTATTTATATTCTCAGTTGCCTTTTAAGATACGGAAGTGCCTACACCCAGATGAACGCAATGAGTGTGCGTTTCAATCAAAGTGGTAGCCAGCTACTTGCGTTGCGTAGAAGGTTACCAGCAGTTCTTTATGATATCCATAGTTCCGTGCCATCTGTAGAGTTCAACCATGATGGTTATTATAACTCTTGTACTATGAAGAGCTGTTGCTTTGGAGGTGACAAGGATCAGGTTAGTTTCCGCACGTAGGTGTTACACGTGTGTCACTACAAGTGCAGGTCACCGTTGTTAGAATTAACATTGCAGTTATTCTTTTAATATTATTTTCTACTTGACATTTGTTTAATATTTCACTTGGGAATAACAAAATTCACAACAGCTTAGTATTACTAGTATCTTTCTTTTTATCATCTAAAATCAAAGAAAGTTGACAATTTTTTTTGAGGGCTTACCAAAACTGTACATGACCTTTAAGCTTTTGTTCAAAATCAGGTTTAACAACAAAGGAAGTCAGTGTGACGTCTAAGCTTTCCGTTCTTAAATGTGATCTTAGACGTAGGGTCAGGTTCAACAGAATTAGTATGGACCAAAGTATTTTTTTTTAATGTGGGCAAGTACAAGCTATTTTGTCCCATGTGTTACAGACCACATCTAAGTTTTCAGTATAACAGATACCTGTGTAAGGCTAACAGCCTTTCTAGAGCTTGAATCAGACAAAACATCACATGAAATGATATTGTTATGTCCATTTATGTTCACATTTCCTTGGACTTGCCTTTATAAGGGTTTTCCTGCAAATTTCATGTGAAATTGAACCATCTATCATATTTCAGATTATTTTTGTTTTGCTTTTACTTGGCTTCATTTGTTTTGGCTTTTGGGTTTCTTTAAAAAAAAATGATACTGGACAATTTTGTGCCAAATGCTTTGTATTTGATATGATTATAGAGGGTAGTGCGCTCTTGATGTTTTCTATGTCTGCGTGGCAGAATGAACAGCATCAGACTCATGTTTTGTTTTTCTCTTACCCATAAAAATTTAATTTTAATATTAATTTGATTTCTGTGATTTATCTATTTGTAGCATTATGGTGTTATGGATTATTATTATTATTATTTTTGTTTTGTTTTGTTTTTTGTTTTGTTTGGGTGGGGTGGGGGGGTTGAAAGACTGACCATTCTAATTGATGAACTACAATCAGGATTGAGTTTTCTTCAACTAGGTTGTTCATCATTAAAGTGTGATTGTAACTACCGGTATGATGATTTTAGATAATTGACCAAAACATAGACCAAGGTACTTGTTATATTTAACAGGGATATTTTGTTTTGTGTTTTTCAGTTTGTCTTATCTGGTTCAGATGATTTCAACCTTTATATTTGGAGGGTTCCAGATCCATGTGAAGGAAGTAAGTTTTATTCATTTATTTATTCATATATATATATTTTTACAGGATACACAAGATTAGTATGTTACTTGAAAATGAGACATTGATTTCATGATGACATGATTTGTATTTGTACATTAGATATTGATATGATATTGATATGATATGATATGATATGATATGATATTTTACAGGATGAGAGGTTGACACTTTGCTCTCCATAAATCAATAAATATATAAACTGACTCAACTTTGTCACGACCTTTGCATGTTAAGAACCCACTAGACTATTCATATAAGAGTAAGGGGAAACCCGAGTGCAGTGGCCCACCTGCACATCCCCAATCAGTTCTACCGGGAGGAGAGACCCGAGGGTGATTCAGTTCGCCTTTCCCCTCCCAGGCACAGGCGATACCAAATACTTAATTATAAGAGTTTATGCCTGATTACAGTTAGTTTGATTTTGAGAATACTGGCCTTTGCATATAATTTGTGAAAATTATCATTCACTGAAAATATAAAATACTCACAATATCACCATGAAATGTGTCTCTCACTTCAAGTCTCTTGAAGTGCCATTGTCACCATCTCAAATAAATAATACCTATGGCTATGTCCATATTGAGCTATGAATCTTTAATTTTTTTTCTTACAATGTTGATCTTTGATCCCCTCTCACAGTTCAACAAGTGAATCAAGCATTTCAGGTTTTGAAAGGACATCGTCAGATCGTCAATCAAGTCAGGTTTAGCTCACGAAGTTTCCTCATTGCATCATCTGGAGTGGAAAAGGTCATCAAGGTATGTATCTATCAAACTTACCAGGAAAAAAAACTTATCTTGAAAACAGAATATATAATCAAAGTTTGCGCAGTAATAACTTTGGATAAAAAGTCCTGTCCTCTTCATGTCATGCCGCAAGAAAGATATGAAATTCAATTAATAGATATGATGAATACTTGATAAGATGATATTTCATATATTGTACATTGTGTGCCATTAATTTATAGGCATCTATTGTGATGTTCATAATATTCTTATTTCCAAATGGAAATTTCTTCTAGAAGGTCATTCCGTAAGAACTAATGTTTCCGATGTGTTGCAAATAATATGCTACCGGGTACTTATTTTTTTACTTCAATTGCCCACTCTTTGACAATTTATGAATGAAGTCTTTTGCCTTAAGAGCTTTGTTTCCACACAATGCTAAAAGAATAAACTGCCTGGAAGAGAAATACCGCAGGGTGCCCTCACTTGTCATTTAGTTACATATAAAGTATTTTTATTTTCCTGGTTTTTTTCTTCCAGTTTATGTCATGCCTGCATGAGGCTTTAATCCAGTGTTATTTCTTTATATTGGCAGCTTTGGAGTGCAACTAAGTTGCCTGGGATGTCTGACGGCAATGAATCTCCAAGAAAGATGTTCACCCGTCAGCAATACTTCAACCTGATGATTAGCTCAGGATCAGCTCTCTCACATGACTACTCGGACAAATCTAAAGATGAGGATCCAAGGATGCTGGCGTTCTTTGATTCCTTTATTCAGCGGGAGGTGGACCACAGTTTTAGTAGCGATTCCTCGGACAATAGTGCATTGAGCCCAGACAGCTTGTATCTCCACTTTGTACGTGATCATAGCGATGATGCAAACAGCTCTGACAGAGATGGCTTCGTCATGCCTTCATTGTTGCCTCCGGAACTTGGGATGATCAGTGACAGTGACAGTACTCACAATGCCCATCCTAGAAACGGTCGGTCAAATGCTGTCAAGGTGAAACCAAAGACTAATGGTGATGAGAGGAATGTGAGTACTAGTAGTGATACGGCTGGACTCAGTGTGGAAGGGGCATCGGTACAAAAGAGTGATAATCAAGAAAAGAGTAGGATAAGTACATCAGATGCTGTAGAGAAAGGTAGCACAAGTCAGGCTAGTCATGAATCCAGTGAGAGCAGAAGAAGAGGAAGACAAAGCAGGAGCTCTAGTGATTCCTCTAGTAGTAGTGATGAATCAGAGGACTTCTTGGTGATGAGATACCGCAGTCGTCTTCTGCGACGCATAATGCGTCAGAAGGGTAAGAAAGGGAAGGACGGTTCTTCGTCAGGTCAATCCATGGGCAATTCCCCATCACAGGTGGAAAAAGATAGACTATCCAGCTTACATCAGCGCTTGGCCTTCAGTCGTGTTATGAAAGAACGGATTACATTAGTGAGCGATAGTGATTCTAGCATGTCGGATGATAACGAACAGTTTCTTGCAATTGTTGGTCAGCTTAGACAAAGGACAGACTCTGCCCGGCAGCGAGCTGCCTCACTGCGCCGCCATAGGATGAGAGCTCTAGAGGAGATCTCTAGTTTAACAGGTGGTTTCAATAGATCAACAGCTTCCTCATCTCTGCCTTCATCCAGGAGTCCTCAGAGGGATTCTTCTACAGCTTCAAGCACAGTAATGAATAGATTAGCACCGTCCACCGCCTCCTCTCCTTCAAACTCACCCAAGAGAGTCACCAAGGGACGTGCTACCACCACAGGCTCCGTTGCATCCCGTGTTTCAAAAACCAATCCCAAACCAGCTTCCACTTCACAAAAAACCAAGAATAAACCACCAAAGTCAAAATCGAGTAAAAACTTAACAAACACAAACTTAGCAAGCACATCCAATGGAAGTAATCACTCTAATAATGTAGAAGCAGCTGGATGTAGCAAAGACAATGAAGCATCAAGTCATGCCAAAGATGGAAGTAAGAATGGTTTCAAGAAGTTCAAAGTGAACAGTTCTGGTAAAAAGAGACATTATCGCAGCACAAACTGTTACTCAAGACAGAAGGACAGTGATTCTGATTAGAAAGTCATCAAAGTATTACTGTAAGGTTCTTCATGATATTAGATACTTCATCCATTCTTGTATCTTTTGATAAACTGCTGGTCTTTTTTTGTTTTTGTTGGAGGAAATTATTAACGTGCCTTCATGGTCCTATTCCTATTACAAGCCATTGCAATTATATTGCACATGCAGGCTTCTTGAAAGCTGATTGAAATTTAGCCTTTGCAGCATCAATGAGACAGGGTTTGATTGTGAGGGGGGGGGGGGTCAATTTTTGTACAGCTTCGAAGTGAAACCCAATGCCTATTGGGGGTAAATATTTTCGAGGTCGATTTGATACATTCTAGCTGTACACATTTTTTTTTTTTTTTTTTTTTATGATTGGTACTCTTTAAAGCTAATCTCAAGCTCTGGTATGGGAATCATAATTATGTCGAGGGAACATGGCTATAATTCATTCTGGATTGTTTATCCTGCAGTAGATTGATTGTTTGAACCAATAAAATAAAAACAACCTCATGAAAGCTTGCTAGAAATCAACTTCAATAAAAACCACAACTCTCATTTGCACATAGCACATGGTGTCGGGCCTACTTACCTTGATTTCCTTATCCTTCTATGCTCATTACTCAGCCCCTATACATTTTATACCAAAATCGTTTGGCACATGTCATTTATTTGTAACCTGAACATTCAGTATAACTTTTGCTGGATTCTGTAAGAAAATTTGTTTATATCATTAGCAGAACTCAAGCTTATCTTTAAACATGAAGTGCAGTCTAGCCCCTAGTGCATACCTGCCAACCCTTCCAAATAATCCGGAATATTCTGATTTTCTGGATTTTTAGGACCTAAAAATTTGGAATATTCCGATTTAAAAAAATATATATATTTTTGGGGCGCTAAAGCCAAACTAAGCTTTTTTATCATGTGCCGCAATTTGAGAGTTCACATACTGCGTGCGTTTAATGGCTGCATTATCGAGTGCTAGCGAATTTGTATTCGCTTTTTTTGTACAGCTTTACTGCGTATTGCCAATTACACTGCTGCTGCATGTGCGAACGCGTACTAAGGGTACAGATTTCTAATTTTCTAAGGCATTCCGTGCTAGAAATTCCTAATTCTTATTTTCAAATGTTGGCATTTAAGTTAGTGTTCTAACTGATATACGCTGGCTGGTCTTATTGTTTTGTGTACAAACACCTACCATTTTTTGTTGTTATTTTTTTTCTCAAATGTCCAGAACATTATAGAGTCAAAGGTCATTGTGTAGGGATATCCATACAAATGTTGTCCAGTGTACTAATTAGATAAGGAAATATAATTTTTTGTACACAACAACTTACCACTACTCAATTTTTTTTATACAGATTCTTTCAAATTTTGTATTGGAAATATGACAGACGTAAAAATGAAAATTAAAGATTGTATTTTTATTGTAGGGAGGGTTATGCTTTCAATGTTAATAATCATCTGGATTTATATAGCACTTAATACTAAATACTGTCTCTAAGCACTTTACAGGTATTATTACACTGGTCATCGGATTATTCATGCACAATGTGCACCATCTCCACTCCGTGGGGAGTATTCCTACCATATGGTCACCGTGAGGGCATATGGCAATTACTAACACAAAGGCTTTCATCATCCTACCAGGTCCCCATTTCTCTCTTGGGTATGGAGTGGCAAATGTAGATAAATGCCTTGCCAAAGGACATAATGCTGTGTCGAGATCGAACCTCCGACCTTTGCATTTCAAGTCAAGTGCTTAAACCACTCTACTGTTACACCTCTGGTGTTATGTTAAAGATAAAGTTGAATGCTGGTCACAGAATTACATTGGGGAAAAACTGTGGAAACAATTGGAATAGGTTGCTTATGTAGTACATAGGGATCTTTGGTTACTGTTAGGTTTTGGAATCATCAAATTAATATTAGAGATTTATTCTTTCTTGCTGAAATGAAAATCACATGCACTGTACCCATAAATGGGTATGTGGGACTATGCACATGTACCATAAATGTTTGGTCTAAACCTTTCAGCTATTTCTTGTCATATTTCGAAGGGCAGTCTTTCTTTTTAAAGGCATCGTTTAACAATGTTAAATCTGAAATGCACGGCCCTACGAGTTATCAGTGTCTGTGATATGGTGTAATATTGAAGCCCTAAAAAAATTGTGCTCCAAAATGATCATGAAGTGCCTCAAAAAAGTAAAATTCTTTGAGTGACCGGTTTTACCATACCATACTCATTTTTCCCCAATAGACTGTAGTGTTATGAAAACAGTTAGGAAAACGCAAAATTTTGTTTAGATTTCCAATCATAAATATCTTGATAATCAGACAGGCTTGTAAAAGTCATGGGGTTCCTGACTGATATAAAAGTTTATAATTATCATTGCAGCATGTGCTAAGTCCAGGATTTTGTTTCAGAATCTGAGACAAAGTTACTGGATCCCTTTAAAGGTCCTTTTTCTACGATGTTCTTCCATACTGACATTAAAAGTCTGAGTTAGCTCACAACTTATCTTTCATCTTTACTAGAATTTCACCATCTCTTTAAATATTTTTATGATTCTTGTTCATTTCTCCTCTACAGGAGCATTTTTTTTTTTGAAATATATTTGTACTGCATAGACAGCATAGTAATGAATTCTTACTTTTTATTATGAGTAATGAGATTTAAATGGGGTTTCTCTGCCCAAAACTTAACACTGAAATATCAAAATACAAAATAGTTGTTTTCTACTTAATATAGTGAGGTTACGGTACACAGATACCTCTAACAAGGAAATGGTGTTCACCTTTTTCAAAATGCAGATTTCTAAGTAAAATGTCATGCTAAAAATGATGCCATTGAGTGATTTTTGAACATTGGCACCCAAGCTGCTCAAGTTTTATGTTTTAGGGACTCACCAGTGGTATGCATTTCAGAACAAATATTTTGGCTGAAAATGTTCCTTAAGTGTAGCAAACCCACTATGAACAATACAATGAAATATGGTATACGTTAAGGCCCACACTATTAAGATATTGTTAATGTAATATTTGTTTGATATGATTTGTGCAGGAACAACTTTTTATAATTTGTTAGTTCAAAATAATTTTCACTTTAATACAGTGACCAATAGGCCATTTTCATAATTTAATCATTTTAAAAACATGTCTTTGTTCAGTACCACATTACGAATTATTTCATTCACTTGTTACTAACAATCGTATTCAATATTTAGAATGCATATCGCATACATTACATGTTGCTAGGTAGGGTAATCCATAATTTTTGTTCGACCTAGCAACAATTTGCAATTTGCGTTCTGGCTGTTGACATATATGATGTATATAGATGAATGCCATAACCCCTCGCTAGGCAGAACCTTAGCACAACATACTCAAATTTGTTTCACTTATTATATTGTCCATTTATATTATGATTATATTGATTAGCCATCAAGTTGGTTTTTTACCAATTACCAATGCAATATAATTTTTAATTTTTTATTTGGGGATTGTGTTCTTTTGTATGACTGCTCTGTTTTTTTTTCTTTGAAAATGATGAGAACTTTGGAATTTATCATACATGTTGCTTGCCCTGTGGTCTACTTAAAACTGCACATGTTGGTATCTTACGTTTGCAGTCAACTCCGCCATGGTTCGGGGGTAGTTCCGATGTCTTAAAAGAATGATGTAAAGATGAGCAATTTAAATGCTGGTCACAATATTGAGTGGTTTATTAAATACAATGGTTGAAATACAGAGAAAATGATGTCCACCTTTCCTGTTCAAGACTTTTTTGAACATTCTAATTTGTTACTCTTATCTCAAAATCCAGTTTCGTTATCCATGATGTACCATGAAGAAAAAAAAAACACCTGTTTCATTATGAAAATAGGGAAATGATATTAATGTTTGCATTCTCCCAGTTTGATGTATCCGAATTGCCAAGATGAGTAATTCCCCCTATTAAAATGTCTACTTTTTAAATTCTTACATGTAGCTGTCTCTTCTTTATCGTTTTCCTTATTTTCTGATTATATTTGTGCCGATAGTCTAAATTGACAATTAATAAAGAGAAAGTGCAGAGAATAGGTATTATCAGGCACGTAGCCACACGGGGGGGGGGGCACGTGCCCCCCAATTTTTGTCTCGCCTGCGTAGCAAAAAGCGAGACATAGGCGCCGCTTTTCCGGTGACGGCGGCGGCGACGGCGACGGCGACGGCGACGGCGTCAACATCAAAAACTTAACCTAAGGTTAAGTTTTTGAATTTTTGGTATAATTTTTAAAGTATAAGTTCTTAGTCAATGAAACTTTGACTATAGGGTAATCAAGTATCCCCAATCATGTGAGTAGAATTTCAGATCACAAAGTCAAGGTCAAAGGTCATTTCAGGTCAACAGACTTGGACTATGTTGTAGCATCATCATCGAAAACTTAACCTAAGGTTAAGTTTTTGAATTTTTGATATAATTTTGAAAGTATAAGTTCTTAGTCAATGAAACTTGAACTATAGGGTTATCAAGTCTCCCCAATCATGTGAGTAGAATTTCAGGTCACTAAGTTAAGGTCAAAGGCCATTTAAGGTCAACAAACTTAGACTTTGTTGTGGCATCAACATTAAGATTTTCAAAATGCTTCTTCTTCGTTATTTTTCAACCGATTTTGATTCTGATTGTTTCATATGATAGGGCTAGGAGGGGATTTAAAATTTCTACACAGAATCGTGAAATTCATTATCTATGCTAATTTATGCAAATTTATTCGAAATCACAAAAAAGGCTTCTTCTCCTTCATTTCTCAACAGATTTTGATTTGGTTTGCTTTATATCGTAGAGCTAACTTTGGTACACTAAACTTTTACACAGAATTTTGAAATTGTTCTCCATTAATTAATTATGGTAATTTATGCAAATTTATTCCAAAAATAACAAAAATTGCTTCTTTTCCCTCATTTCTTGACCGATTTTGCCTTATCTGGTAGATTTAAATTTGGAACAATAAACTTCTACACAGAATTGTGAGATTTTGCTCCATTGATTATTTATGGTACTTTATGCAAATGAAATGGAATTACAGTGTATGTCCCTTCCAGGGCATCAAATTTCTATTTTTTGACCAGTTCAAAAGTGTACCACATAAAATTTACGATATTTGTTGTTGTGAGATGCGGATGAGCGCTACGTCATTGACGTTCTGGTTTATCATATTGAATTGCGTTATGCAGGCGAGACCGCCGAGAGCGTTTCCCTTGTTTTCCAAGATTGGTTGAACTTTTTTAGCCCTTTTTTTTTACCTTGATCGATTACATGTATGTGCCCCCCCCCCCCGCAAAAAAAACAAAAAAAACATCAAACTCTGGCTACGTGCCTGGGTATTATTAAAGGGGAAGTCCACCTTAATAACTGGTACTGAATTTTGTCATCAGTGAAACACAAATTGGGAACCCTGTGACCAGGCGCGGATCCGGGGGGGGGGGCCGAGCGGGCCTTGGCCCCCCCCCCCCCCAACCCCCGCGAAAAAAAAAAAAGGAGAGAGAGAGAAGGAAAGAAGGGAAAGGGAAAGAGGAAGAAGAAAAGAAAAGAGGGAAAGATCGGGGGGGGGGCAAAAGGACTTGCCTCCCAGGCTGTTGCCCCCCCCCCCCCCCCCCCCCATTCAAAAAATAAAAGAGAAGGAAGGAAAGGGAAAGAAAAAAGGAAAAGAGGAGATACAGGGAAGGAAAAAAGAGGAAGAAGAAAAAAAAAGAAGTGGGATATCAGTTGCAATTTTCCCGCCAACAACTTGTGGATCGGGGGCGGGGGGGGGGGGGCAAAAGGAAGGAAGAGAACGTAGGAAAAAAAACTGAATTTAGACAAAGATTAAGAGTCGATAACGACACAACAAATCGTCTTCTTTCTCTAATGATTTAATGAAACGTAAGCTTCCGCTTAGCGCGGGAGGGGGGAAACTAAATTCAGACGATTATTATTATTGGGAACGGTACAACAAATCGTCTTTTTTCTCTAATAATTTATTGAAATGTCAAAGCTTCCGCGTTTCGCTGAGGAGGGAGGGGGAAACTCGCCTCTCCCTGCACCCACCAACCCCCAATTACGTCACTGCTGGTCACCATTACGAACCAATATTTGGCTCGCATAATTTCAAATTTTGCCCCCCCCCCCCCTAAGAAAACCCTGGATCCGCGCCTGATGTATATACAACGGCAACAGTTTAAATATAAAATGTAAGTTCTTCTTACATAAATCATTGGTCTGGAAACAATTATTTGCCCATTGTTGTGTATTGTATTACATTTTCACTGACAATGAATTCACATTGTAATGCAAT